AGCCAATAACCTTTGAGGCGACCAGACAATGCCCGTTCTCGCAGTCGCTTGCATGCCTGCGGCTAGAACGGCACTTGGACCGCGGCTGGTTCTCCTGCAGGTCGTAGGCTAACCAAGTCAAACCTCTGTTCATCGATTCTCCGTTCCTTTGTGTACACAATACATTCTTCCCACTACTCCGGTCTTTATCGACTTCTCTTCTGCACTTAGTAACCATGGTCTGAAGATCGTAGTGGCTGGGTTTAAGTCACTTAACCCCCTGCGATAGGTTCTATACGGCGCCGCACATTACTTATGGGTGTTTGACATCCATTATTATAGGCCAGCAATGGAACTAAAATATCTTATATTCCGTCAATGAAAATCAGGCGAGAACAGGCATGAGTAATACACACAACAAAAGGTCATTCTGCCAATCCCATGTAACTGACATTCACTTGAACCACCTGCTCATTTACCCGTACGTGGGAGTATTACAGTGCATGAGGTTCGGTGGTTGCGCTTACCAGCGAGGTTGCTTGGGGCATCTAGTGTCGCAGAGTACCTCAAAGTCCGTCTTCGGGTATTCCGTGCCTCTGTAAGCGATGAAGGCGAGGGCATCACGGCGAACGTACTTGCCGGGAGTTTGTTCTCCTTCGTGCAAGGCGCGGCATAGGTAGATGCCAGGCTGCGTCTCAATGGCACCGTCCGGGATGTCACCGGCAACTGTCTTTACCCAGGACAGACCCAGCTGCACACCTTTGACTGTCTTGACCATCTTTGAATCTGTCAGGAGGTGGAGGACTGAAGTGGTTTGACAAACGTCAAAGTCAGCTACAACTGAGGCTTCTTGTTAGCATAATCCAAATGCGTGGGATTTAAAAATTGAACTGTCAATTTTTTTTAAAATTAAATGTTATTTCTATGAACATTTTTTTCTCCCTTTTCACTTTAAGACCCTCGTTCTAAACTCCCACCAAGAGCACAAAGGCAGTTTTTCCATCAATTTTGCGAAGAGCATATCCATTGTGCCCTACGGCTTGACTGCACAAGAGGTGTAGCAACGAAGCCAGATATCTATTGGTTTAATATCGATTTAGTCAGCTGATTTTTCTCTGTCTATCTTGTCGGGTGATGGACTATGACAACTTCTAAACAAGGCAGGTGGTTCCCTATTCAAGGCGGTTTCCGAAAAGCTGTTTGAGAAGCTCAACCACTTAAAGAATCGTGTTTCCTCATAATTTGAGTGTAGCTTTTTCTGCTCAAAAATGTCGGCCGCGATCTCTATGCCAATCCGTTTCAGACGGAAATCGGGATGTACGGCGTTGACATAACCGAAAAAGCCAGAACTTTTCACTCTAGAATCTACCTCTCTCTTTCGATGACTAGAAATCATGCGGGTCAGCTTAAATTCTTAATACTCTTAAGCAACCAAGTTAACCACCATCGTAATGAGACCTGCAGTCTTGACATACAAACGTAAAATATACTAAAATCTGAGGATCCAGCCGAAAAAAGAAAGTTCGTTGAGAACGGAAATAAAACAAAGAGGAACCAAACAAATAGAAGGACTACTCACGATATTCTTAAACCCACCACAGACAGAGCTGTGGTGTCGATCAAATCTGCTTATATACCCACGGCGGAGAACAGTTCTATGCGCTGGTTGGACGTATCCAATTAGCGCGGATTGTCAGTCAGCCAGTCAGAATCGGATAAAATGTCACAACAGGGTGCATTTTAGCGTACGATCGGGTTAAACAGGTTACACGTGCCCATGTTTAGGTACATCGGAAGATCATTTGGTTCTACTTAAGAGATAAAAAACAGGCAAAATTTCACTCATCTACGAATGTGATCGCAGTACTTCTAATGCGGACGAGAGGTTAATGTGATCATTCACAGACGTTTAGTCAAACCCTCCTCGGATAACGGCGGGATTTGTCTGAAATCCGTCCACGTGCCCCAGTGCCCTCAAACACAAGGATCTCTTAGGTGGACAAGCCGGCAAGACTGTCTTGTAGGGCCGCCGGAATATCTATTCCTCCCGCACAATTGTCTAACGGAATTGTTGGTTAAACATTTAATGCTTAGGTAACGAGTGTAAATGAATATGAATGTGCGTCGAAAGTGACCAAAAATATTAAATTAAATCCACATATGGTTGTTTTAATGAGCTAAATAGAATCTACTCCATCAATATAAACTTCTGTTGCTCAGGCAACTGATGCCTATGGATGGACGTTTTACTTTATGTTGGCGGAATTTAACAAAAAGGCGAAATTCGACCTTATATTGGCGGAATTTAACTGCAACTGCAAAATGGAAAAGTAGGTTATTATAATTTAAACGCAATTAGAACCTTTAAAGACAGTCCTACCGACAAGCCTAATTAGTGTTTTGGGGTCCCGGGAAGAAGCTCACAAAAATATCCAGACTATATGCAGAAGAATTGAGCCAAGAAACTCCGACAGACTCCCAGGTCGCCTACCCACTTACAGCAGTAGTGTCTGATGAATTCGAGGAAACGGGCCCCAATTCTAGCGCCCGTGCGTTTACCCAATGGTCGCAATAACCAGAAAATAGCAGAACAATGCCTTCCCATGACGTTATTATTATCGCTCTTTATCTGGCATTTAATTCGATTGAAAGGATAAGAAAACTCTTTACTACAAATGCCCCGATAAGGAGATCCTGACCAAAGTCAGATTGAAAAATATTAACAGAGTGGAAATTGTCTGCCAGATTGTGTACGAAATTAACAGGGAGTCAGCTTGTCTACCCAAAACTCGAACACTCCGTCTCCATGATGTCCAACTGGAGCGATCATCAGGCGAAGCGAACTAGACGAATATCCATACCGACGCTGATGCAGCAAAGTTTTCTGACAGACTGAGTGCGAATTAATCAGGTCAGTCGAATAAGGTCGAGCAGGACACGTTAAATCCGTGCAGCGGTTTTATCGGTCTGATTTCCGCAGGTTCTAGGCAAGCTCGGATTATGGATTTGTGTACAAAGGTGTATTTAGTGGCTTTGGTGGCGCAAAAGCCTTCCCTCCTGTGTGGGTTCGACTCCCACCGAGTCCGCGAATTTTTTCACAATTGGGTAAATCGAAAGGTGTATATGTACAATCCGCACAAGGACAGACCGTGGACTACTGCTGGCCCTTATATCTTGCATAAACATAACGAACTGCAAAGCCGAACGCCCACCCGCCTCTCAGGCTCCACGGGCTTAATTCCAGCCGAACGCCAATGATTGGCGAAAACGGATATCACTGTTTCGTGTTTCTTGGCACTTCCGACTCTTTGTCCAGCAGTAACACGTACGTCGAACACCAAAGATAACACTTATAAATGTGGTACGGTACTATGAGACAAATGGTAAAGGCTAAATGAAGTACATACCTCAACAATAGATATACACAGTCAAGAACAAAAGGATTCGGCCAAATAGCCTGACTCTAAACAAGGGAACAACGCACGTTCAACACCAACACGCAGGGCAAAACCACTCTTGGAAGAGCTTGTGCGTGTCAGTGGGAGAGGGGGCGACGTCTGCTTCTGTGTGATATCAGGAGGCAGTTCATATAGCATCCGATTGGTCTAAAATAGTGCGCGAAAAGAGGGGATTTCGTGTACAGAGACCCATAATTTTCTCAGCACTAGGGAGGGGGGTTGTTCGAGTGGTCCTCAGAGCAGCCGCCGCTTACTGAGTCAATAAGTGGAAGGAGCAGACAGCTGGCTCTCTGTCACAAAGTCAGTTCATGGATCTTCATCTTGAATAGTCGAAACCGTTGTCACTTGAGGCAGCGGTGGGCCGAACGGGAGCTGGGGACAGTACATAAGTGGCACTTTACTGGAGGCTGTTTTGCACGCGGACATTCGAGTGTAAATGAGTCAACAAGGGAAGGGCGACCAGCATTCGAGGGCCGCAAGGGCACGGGCATACGGTTCAGAGAAAGGGGAAAGCTGTCTTGAGATGGAAACAATCATACAGTAGTCGCCAAAGACCATGCAATTTTCATAACTTTGTATAAATTTG